TTTGTAAATTGTTGGTATGGTCTGCTAAGTCATACATGTTTATACTATGCAAGTAGTTGAGTAATTGGAATTTAGTTTCTGATAATGTAGTGGTATTGTTGTCTGCATTAAAATCTTCAAGTATAATAGGATATAGGTTGAATGATATTGCTTGTTGTGTCCATGTAATAATAATGTCTTGTGTAAGTTTGTGGTTGGTGGTATTAGTAGATGATAGGTATATTGAAATAATTCTAAATTTATAATCATGTTTAAAAAATAGGTCTATAGCAATAGCACTGCCAGGTTGTGTGATTATATTATGTATATGAGGTTGAATGTTGTTTTTAATCATTATACATGTTCCTTCTTTAGATTCTGTAGAGTTGAACCAGAAGTATGAATAATGAGATGTGTTTCAGAACTTGGTTTTTGTATTTTTAGAAATTTTTGTTTCGATAAGGCTAATTATGTGTAGGTTATGAGTTAAACAGTAATTTTCCCATAGCAATCTTTTTTCTTGTGTATTGTATCCTTGGACATTGTGTGTTGCAATATTGAGTTTAAGTAAAATATCCTTGTTGGGAAAGTTGGAAGAGGATTTTAAAGATAGTTGATAATATTTATAATATTGATGATATGAAAGTATAGTATGATTAGAAAGTAGGTTGTCATTGTAGTTAGTATAAATATGAGTTTCTGTATAAGATAAATTAATAGATATTTTAAATGACTTGGTAAAGTTGTAGTGTTGTAAATATTGAATGAAAGAGTTAATGTTTGAGAGTAATAGATTAGTGGTATATTGTTTTTATATAAGAATAAATTATAACATGCATTAGGGTCAAAGAATTTTGAAGATGTTGTAGTTGACCCTGATATGTTGTTTTCTACAAGGGCACTTGCTGTTTGAAGCTCGTTTCTCACAACTGCGAAGAGTTCTATAGTCCGCTCTGTGCATTAAGTCTGACAGTTATTTCCTTGGTTTTTCACGTAAATAGGCTTTCCCGCCTGCCTACTTACATCATCTTCCTTATGAAATACTTCGATAGTTTCTTTTGATAAGGTGGCAGCTACATTTATGAGTTGTGTAGAAGACAATTTCAGTGAAAATGGGTCTGGGTCTGTTTCTCTTCTTTTAGAAAGAAGGATTCTTCTATAGCAGTAGAGATCTTGAATTTGATGTTAAATTTATTGTATAGAATAGTTTCAGCTTCAGGGAGGGCTTTTTCTTTATAGAATTTAGTAATCTCTGAATAGTTTAGTGAGTTACTATATGTGCAGTCAAAATAGGTAATTACTTGTGCAAGGAAGTCAGTATTAATAAACTTGGTTGTAATAAAGTCAATTGCTTGTTGTTTGTTCATTTTATCTATATTGTGGTTTTGGGCAGCAGTTTTTTGGTAGATTGATAGGTATTGATAGAAATAAAAGCTATGTCGTTTGGTGTTAGTTTTGACAGCATTGGCAGAGCAGGTATATTCTTCTACTTTTGCTACTAATTCATCAAGTACAGTAATAGGAATTTGTTTTTGGAATGTAGCTTCATGTTTGCCTTTGGTATAAAAAATAAATGGATTAAGATAGGGTTCGTTCCATGATTCATTATCTTTTTTTAAATATTTTTGGTAAGAGTCATCAAAAGTGTATTTGATAAGTGCAGATGTATTATGTTGTAGATATGATTCAATATTGGGTTTTAAGTTTATATGTATTTCTTTTTCTTTTCCTTTTGTTATTTCAGTAGTTAAGAGATAAGGGCATTTAGGGTCTGTGCAGGTGAGTATATGATAGTTGACTTGTTTAAAGGTTTCATGTTGTCTTTCTTGTAGATTATGTGGTTTTGCAAATTCATGAGTACTAGACAGAAGTTCTTTAAAATGAGAAATGAAATGTTGTCTGAATTGGTATTTAAGATAATTAGATACTTTGGTTTTGTTGATAGTATTTGAAAATTGTCTACTGTATAGTGGAAAAGCTTTTTCAAATCATTCATTAAAATGAAAAAGTGAGTTTTTTAAAGAAGGAATATTGTATTTGTCCATAAATAAGGTTTTAGGAATATTAAATTCTAGTTGAATATTGAATCAAGTGTCTATATTAATAGAGAGGTATTTTTCATTTTTGTCATATCTAGTAACTTTTGATGATATTTTAAATCTTTTTGATCTAAGTTTAATGTCTTCTGTAAATTTTGTATAATTAATGATTTGATAATTGTTAGATAAGTATAGATGAAGGTGAGCTAGATTAATGCAGAATTGTAACTGATTTTTATTTTTAAGAGGTGGAATAGTAGCAGGTGAAGCAAAAATTTCTGGGTAGTTAAGTTTCATGAAGAGTACAGTAATGAAAGTTTGTATAATATTTACCATATAGGCAGATGGTTGTGGCACTAGTAGCAGATGCTTGAATATAATGACAGGTTTTGATGCTCCCTCTAAGTTCTGTGGTAATGCAGTTATTAGGTTATTTATTTGCAGATGTTGGACATGATATTTCTGGCATATCTTCATAGATTCCAATGTCAAAACTTTTTAGAAATTTTTCATAAAAGTAGTTCAGATCAATAGAATCAGGTTCAGAGCTTACTAAGATTGGCATTTTCAATAAAATTACTTAGATGACTAGGCTTGTTTTGCTTAATAAGATTTAGAGATATAAGATTTTAAAATAAAATAATAATTATAGATTTTGTTATAGGGTTAGATTTAAGTTTGCAGGGGTATTACTGCAGCTTGCTGCGGCTTACTGCGGCTTTGTGTAATCTTGTGTAAACTTGGTAACACAAGTGTGGCTAATGTGGCTAGTATGGCTAGTGTGACTAGTATGACATAAAGTTATAATTAGTTATATATTACAATAGCTATTGTGTACTAGAATACAGAATTTATTTTTAGTAAATTAATACAAATTAATTTGTAACAAAATAAATTCTTTTTTGGTTAAATTTAATTTACACAATGTAGTATTAAATGAAACCAATTTTGGAAATGATTTAAGGTTACACAAAAAATGTGTAAGGAAGAAAATTTGGGGGTAAAGATAAAGTAATTTTTTAGAGAACAATAAAGGATTTAAAGTTGTTTTTTATTATAATTCTATCAGTTTTAGGGTTACAAGCTTCTTTTTAGGCTTGTTTTGACTAGAAAGAGATGTTTTACAACTTTTATTAGGACAGTATTGTGAATTAAAAAAGTAACAGATGAGAAATAACTAAAAATTTGATTACAGAGACTAAAGACTGTTTTAGCAGTATTAAACTGCGAGTTTGAAAGTTAAAGACTTATAACTTTCAGAGTATATGTAAAATTGTGACTGAACAAGTTTAATTAAGTCACCAAAGTTGGTTATCTTAGTAAGATAATCGAGTATTAGTGATTTTGTTGCTGGCGAATTTTTTGTTATTTTGTGTAAAAGGATTTATGAAAAGAGTTTTTATTTAGATTAAATTTATATTATTTATTATAAATATTAAAATATATATATAATAACAAAGTATTCATTTTCTCTTTCTTTATGTTTAATAATTTGCACTAACTCAATAATAGATTCTGCGAGTATAAGATCATAAGTATCTAAAACTTTATTAGTGGACAACTATATTTATATAAATGATTGTTATTTTTGTATTAAAAGTCATACCATTGCACAAGTACAAAATTAAATGATGTAAAGTAATTTTCAATAATAACAGTAATCAACAGTAAAATCTGAAATAAATAAATATTATTAATATATAATAAAATTCTAAAATAACTAAAAAATATATTATTAGCAAACCTTACAAAAACAAGTTCCATTATCAGTTCTAAACTCTTTACTTTCATCTATACTAATTGATACATCACTAAATGATGATTCATTATAATAATTACTTATTGTTCTAATATAATCTTTACTAGCTGCTCTATTAGTATAACTATACCATTTAATAATAGTATCACCTGTTACCATATCTTCAGTTAAATCCTCATACAAATCAAAGAATTTATTTAATGATAAAAAAAAATGTTCAAAAGCTAATAAAATCTCAGAAGCTAGTTTATTCTTTGATATATATAAAAAAAAAAATCATCAGCTGTTTTTAATGAGAATTCTTCTAGAAGTTCATTCATTGAAAAGTTTTTAGATATTCATCCTGTAGATTATAAAACTTTTTTGTGTTGAGATAGATAATTAAAAATCAAATTACAATATATCTATATATAAATATTATTATTAGCAAAATTTAACTATAAATAGAATTAAGATAAATAATAAGTATACTAACCATTTGAACTATTTGTTTAGTAGCATTATGCTTATTACTAGCTCTATATAGCTTTTTTACAAAGTTCTTGTGCAAAGTTTTATATGTCTCTGTTGTGAATCCATTAATAGCTCCAAATTCTTTAATTGCTTCAATAGTATAATAATACCAATTATGCAATTTACATAGTCGAAATTCTGATGGAGAATAACTTTTAAAAAGTTTAACAAATAATTTTGCTTAACTCATAATTAAATCCTATAATATTGTAAAATAATTTTAATTAATATTATTAATATACAATATTGCAACTATTAAATAAAAAAATTATATTAAATATTAATAAATTTATCTTAAACTCTACAAGATCTGATTCTAAAAAATATTTCTTTCAACTAAACAAATATATTTTGTTCCAGTGATAATAAATATTGATTAATTCAGAATCATATCATTTTGTGATATTTTTTTCAATTGAAATTTTATGATGTTTAATAATAATTCCTTCTATAACAAAGAAAAACACTTTTATCATATTGCAGAATTCATTAGCTATAAAATGTTTAATATTTCCAAAGCCTTTTTTAAACACTTTAAGTCCAGGAAATCTTGGCATTTTTGCTAAATGTTGATCAAGCTTATCAATTGCTACATTTCCACAAAGATTATTTAGTATTTTTCTTGTATATTCTACTTGATATTTGAACAATCCTAAGTCCAAATGATGCATTTTATCCAGAATTGTAGCTATATAAATGTTTAATTGGCTAATATTTTTTATAAATTATTATTAAATTACAGTATTATACAATGATTTCAGATATCATAATCACAAAAAATAAATAAAATAAATAAAAAAAATAAAATAAAATAAAATAAATAATAAAATAAATTAATAAAATTTATTACAAAATATAAAATTTACATCAAATATAAATATAAATATATATTTCCAAAATACATTTTTTATACTATATATGGAATATTGTTTTGAAAATTCTTGATGAATAATGTTTTGCATTGTTTCCAAGGTTCTTAAATTAATTTGATCTACATTTAACTTAATATTATTTATATCATTAAATGATACCAAGCATCTGTAACATGGACATTTACAATTGAAAGCATTATATGTTAATGTTAGCAGTGAATGTTCTGGAAGGTCACCTAAAAAGACTAAAACAAATAGGTAGCATCATAAATCACCATTATTTGTTTGAAGATCAAACCCATTGTCTTTATAGTCAAGCAGTAACTTTAAAATTATATCCAAAGAATGTTGATACGCAGACTGTTTTGCAAATAAAAAATTACTTGATTTTTTTTGAGTAGTTGTTTTTGATTTTAAGATTGGAAGATAAGCCAAAAGAGCTTTAGCATCAGGTTTGTTTCTGTGCCAACTAAAAATATTGCCTAATGTCAAATATACTGGATGTTTATTTGATTTTCCTAGTTGGTCACATGTAGTAGCATCAGAATATAATATTATTGATAAAATGCTTGCATCATAAGGAATTGTTTCTTTTGCCCTTTTCTATCATTTTCCATTAAATTGTTCATAATATATCTGTTGCTCTTGGTAGTACAATGGTGTAAACTCAAAGACACAATGATTAAGTATATTTTCATTGCTTAACAATTCTTTAATAGCATCAAAAATTTGATGGTAATTAAGATAGTATATTTCACCTTCATATTCTACTATAGGTACTTTCTTAAAAGAAATATGTTGTATCATAATTTTGTCTAAACACTGCTTACCTTGTTGTATTAAGGTAGATAAAATGATATTATTATATGCTATTTTTTTTAAAAAACAAAGTATTTTACTTATATATGAATCTGACAAATTCTATTTAATAATCAACTTCATAAAGTCACCGAATTCTTCACTTGGAAAATTTGGCATATTCTCACTATTTGCTGACCCAACATCAAGGGACTCAAAAACTAATGGTAACTTAACCTCAAACAATCGACACTCTACAATATTCATCTACATACATACATATGTATATAATTTTTGTAATTATTGAGTTATATAATAAAACTTAAAACTCTTAAAAATATATATTAATATATATATGTACTACTTATATATAATGTATGTACATACTATATACAGTACTTATGTACTTCTGGTTCACCTATCTCATCTATGGCATCTTTATTATTTATTTCATCTATCTTAATATCATCATTATTTGCTTCATCTATTTCATCTATTTCATTAGTTTCATTATTTATTTCTTTACTATAACTAATTTCTAGCTTGTTTGTTTCTTTTATTTCATCTACTTCAACACCTTTATCTATTTCATAGTTCATTTCATTATCTTCATTATTTATTTCTTTACTATAACTAAATTCTAACCTATTTGTTATCTTATCTATTATATTGTTTTCTATTTCTAGTTCAATATCTTTGCTATTATTAAATAAAAACCCATCTATTTTATCTAGCTGGTTATTGTTCTATTGGTTATTAATTTCATCTTCCTATTGAATAAATTGTTCCTTCCTTAATATGTTATTACTGTCTTTTGCTATAACAATTTCTTGAAAAAGGTTTCCAATTGTATTATTATAGATTTTTAAATGATTGTGCACAGAAAAATGATGATTAAAGTATCTATTACAGCCTGATTCAGAACAATTGTGCATTATATATTTATGCAATATCACAAGTTAACTAATATCTAATATGAAATATAATTAAAATAATATGATTGGTTAATTTAATGAAAGTCTATTACTAAAATACTAGTTTAGCACTAGTATTAACTATAATATAGTATTAACTTTAAAGTTATATTATACAGATCTTATTATGCTTTTAGATTTGTACTACTATCGAATGCATGTATATAAGAAAATTTTTAAAGATTTGAATTAGCTTATTCGACTTTCTTTTTTCTGACCATCCCAAAACTTGTAAAAGCTTTAATACATAGTGTTATTCTTTATTACAGAACCATTTCATTTTAAAAAAATTTAATGATATATAATACACTAGTTGAATGACAAATATCTCAGAAGTCTTGTTCACTGTGCTTATTAAAAAAAACTTTTATCTGACTATATTGAACCTAATCTACGCATTTGTGTCTAAATTAAATAGCCAAGCAACTTGAAGCAAAGGCATACAACATTCAACAAAAAATTCAACATGCAATGGTAATGAATTTGACAAAGTGGTGCAAAAGAAAAACTAGTCAACATTACCAAAAAATTATATGAATTATTAAAAAGTAAGTGCAAACTCAAAATTTAAAAATTTGTCCATTATGAAGTTGACTTTTCCATTATATTAGTTATTCAAGAAAGATATATGATAATTTGTTAGACAATTATCCTAATCTATTGTTATTAACTATTAAAGTAAACTAGAAGTATGTAATACAAACCTATATTTTTAAGAGTTCAACTTTAATGATTAATAAATAAAAATTATGTAGTGAAAATTATATACAATCTCAATTGCTTAAATCAAACTCTGTTATTTTTATATCTCTTGACATCATTTAGCAGAGGTAGCTAACAATAACTATTACTATAGCCCAATATCCAAAAATATATTAATAATTCACCTATCAATAATATCTCTGCATAGTCATCTTACCAAAATAAGTCACATATCAATGTGAACTTTTTTATGCTTAATACTAAGCATCTACAAATTTATGCATTCTAGCATTATACTTTTATGCAAGTTAATTACCAATAAAGAATACAACTATAAGGAATAAGGCATCGAAGTTAAAAACAGGTATATTCAATAAAAAACAGTTTTTATTCTGATCAATTTTAGCAATTCATATTGGGATTTGTTAGTGCTACAAGTATACAAGCATTAACAAATTGAAATATGGAATTTGCTATATGGGTAATGTATACAGGAAATCTATCGAATTAATATTTGTGAGATAAATATAAAGATAAAAATTAAGGCAAAAATGTTAAGACTATATTAGTATATAGTCAGCTAGCATAACATAAATTTGTATATGAATTTGAAATAAAAAAGTAGCTTTACACTATTAAGATTGTTAAGTATTTTACTATCTGTTAAGTTATTAGTTTAGAAAAAAAAAACAAATTTATAGATAAAAATAAAATTGTAATTAATAAAAAATATTAATAAATTATTCATTTTAAACATTTTTAGGATCAAGGATTCAAAGTTCTAATAACATAATTGAATTGCATAAAATTATTGAGATATATTGATGTAAAGTAATAATTCATTAGAAATATTTTTTAGTTTTATAATTATATTGATATATTAACTCAGATAACTGACGTACTTATAAAGCAATGATAATAATTAATTTTAGAATAATATATAAATGAAGAATTTTTGTTTTATGGTCTTGTTAATTGTTACTATTGAACTATGAACAAAGGAAAAATAAAAAAATCAGTCCATCTTTTAACCTTTTTTCTTTACAATGACCAAAATGATCATTAACTAGACAAGGTACAATGAATAATAAAAAAATATCAACAAATTCACCTTGAACTTCATTGTAATCAAAATCATCTGCTTCAACTACACTATTGACTAATTCTCCTCAAGTTTCATTGCAATCAAAATTACCTACTTTAAACACCTTAACTATGCCATTACAATTACCTATATCAGCAAAAGCAATCACATCATCTCAAACAGCACAATCAACTGCATCAACACAATCGACAAATTTAAACAACTCATTGCATCTATTTCTTTAACTAAAAAAAGAAAAGCTAATGCAGCAACTTCTGACCTTCCCATGACTACTACTAGCAATAAGTTTAGCAAACAATCATCTATGAGTTTTGTAAGTTTTATTTTATTTTATTTTATTTTTTTTTAAAAAAAAAAACTTAAAAATATGATGATTCTTTTATAATTTAGCTCCAAGTCATTGTCGACACTTCTCCTTCTGCTGTTCTTTATGATGAAAATCCAGGTTAATATGTTTATGTTATTAATATGTATTTTATCTTTTAATATATTGACTAATAATGTATTATTTATTAGTGCTACCAACTGTTGATTTACAAACTCTGTCAAAGATTTTAAGCATCAGACAAAAAAGCTTCACCCAAATTGAACATATTACTAGAAGACAAGCTAAACTTGAATATCTTATTACTGAACAATGAAAGCAGCTTGAACAGGTTCTTGAAAAGTTGGATGATACTAAAGGAATACATAATCCTGCTATGAGCAAAAGAAAAAGGAAAAGAAAATAGAAGAAAACAATGGATGATTTGTTTTAAGTAGTTGCTCTTTAACTTATTAATTAGATTTAATTTTTGTATTATTCATCTATGTATTTATTATATGTACTGTAGGAAGCAGTTAGAGAACTTTTATATGAATTATTTTATGACCATAAGCAAATAAGCAATGCTGAAATAAAAGTATAACTCAAAAATAAGTTAGAAAACAATAAAGATTATGCAGAACACTTGCACCTTTTAGAAGAAAAAGAGTTTTTATTCAAAAGATTGTGGCATAAAAAATTATATTCAGATATCAGTATTTTTTAATAATATTATATGTAATATATATATATAATTTTTAATAATATTACATGTAATATATATATATTAACTTTGTTTATGCATAGATGTTAGCAGCAAATTATCTGAAAAAAAGGTACTATGTTTGTCATGTTAAAGAAGGACTTTGGGCTACCTTTGGCATTAGTAGAATTAAACCATTCAATGAACATGATATAAAAGACCAAATAAAACAATAGAAACAGGATTCTAGAAAAGCTTATGAAGACTTATATAATCTGAATAATCCAACTAATCCAAATTTTGATATTTTTTTGCTTTAATTGTACAGTACATTTTTGTTTCTAAAGATGAACAGACTCATATAAATGCTATCTGAACCCAAGCAATATTGGAAATTATCTTTGATAAACATTATCTTTCTGCCAAAATTAATTCTAAAGTTATTAATATTTGGTTCCAGAAGCTTTTAAATGAAAATAACATGGTAATATATATTTATTGTGTATAGTAACCAATAAATCAGTATTAGTTACTATACACCTAATACTAATTATCTTATTAATTGCTGTTCAGTTATTTTTTCTTTTATTTTCTTAAATTTTTTTTAATTTTTAGAATATGGAAATTACTTACGATGAATTTCATGAATCAAATGAAAATAATGATGATAAAAATAATAGGAATTTGTCTGAATTATAGCATGAAAGTGATCAAAGCAATAGTATCAATGAAGATTATAATGATAATAATAATAATAATATTGAATAGGAGCAGAAAATAAGAATAATAAATAGCTATAAGAGGTTGTTTTACTTGAATAGTTATAGTTATATAACTTACTGTTTAATAAATTAGTTAATAGCATATTGTTAGTTTA